AGCCCTAGTGCGTTTTTTGGAGCAAAAATTAATATAAGACCTGGTCTTATTTTCTGGGAAAAATGGTATGTAACAGTATTGATACAGGATATGACATGTGGTGCTGGCACTGTTTATGACAAGAAGGTAACATGAGATTTTATGTCAAGGTATCGATACAGAATATGATGTTTGTTATAAATGCTGGATACAATGCACACTGCTGACTTCGATTCAGATGGACATTTACTATTGGTATTTATGGGGGTAAAATGTGCAGTGTGAGGGGTATTATGTCGAAGTATCGGTGGAAGATATGTGGTAGACGTGTGCAATTAGTTTCGTTCAGAATGCACATTCGTACGAATTTCGTGCAATTCGGATATTCGGATACTTACGACTGTCCGAAGTTCGAATTGCAGAGTTGCCGTATTTCCAAAGTGCCGATTTTCCAAAGTGCTGAAATTCCGAAATTCCGAAGTGCTTTGGATTTCCGAAAATTGGCAAAACAAGTGGTTAAGGTTAGGGGCTAGGGGTTAGGGTTTAGGGTTAAAATCTGAATTACTGAAGTTCCGAATAGCCAAAGTTCCGAATTGCCGAACTGAATGCCATTGGTCCGAATTGTCGAAGCAGACAAAAATTTTTTACTAACCTGAATTTCTGAATTCAATTTTTTGCCCATGCTCATCCCTAATATGTAGTGTTGACGTTGATTAAGATTAGCAGGTAATACCCGATATGGTGAAAGTAACAATGCCTCACTGTTTCTACAGAAATAATGTATAATTATGTTTCCGTTCTTGGATTTGCAGGTTTCTGGAAGCCCCGGATGATGATCTGTCGTAGTTTGGTGATTTACACAGTCTCTATGCCATTTGTCTTTCTCCTGGGGTAAAACTCTCAGAGTTCGGAGCACAGCAGACGCAGTTCCCGCAGCAGCGTCTCTATAATTGTGTTTTATGATATATTCTGACACAGTGAGAAGAATGTGATGCGACTCACTCACATTGTGAACAATACAATAATATGAGGGGTGAAGAGAGTCTTCTAGCTAATGATACAATTAAAATACATGGCCCAAAATAATTCTGCTTGCAATTTCATGTGGGAACAAGATATCATGATGACAGTCCCGTTATATCATGAAAGAGTTATTGTAACATATAGGTTATCTGCATATCTAAATATTCAGTGTTACATGTATGTTATTATCCTATTTGCATTACCAATTATTCATTATTATATGTATGTTATAATGTTATCATGCTATGTGCATGCCTGTATACCCAATATTAATTCTATGGTTTTGTGCAATCTTTCTTTGTATCAATAATTAGTATGAAATATTAAATCATTATTGTTATTATTATCATATGTAACGTGACAGCATTTTCTGCATTGCTTTTTAGGTATACTATGGGAGTTATTTAACTGCAGCTAACTGACAGACGAGAATAATGTCCACAGACACAAGAGGTGAAGAAGGCTCTGCTCGAACAAGCTTACAAAACTAGCAACATACACAATAACCATTTTCGACAATGTTCTTCCTGTCGTTGCGCCCAATAATGAATATCAATATGTCCTGTAATCGCAATGGGCAGCCATTGGGCAGCTAACACCCTCAGCCGATCACGGCATCCACTTCTTCCTTTCCTGCTCTCCTACAGAGGATGAGCAGAGGAGGGAGGGAATAGTTCGGAAAGGTGTCCTGGTGACCAGCTTACATGTTAACCCCTTAAGGACACATGACATGTGTGAAATGTCATGTTTCCCTTTTATTCCAGAAGTTTGGTCCTTAAGGGGTTAAATTGTTCCAAATCTCTTTACTAAGATATGTAACAGGGTTGATGTTCCAGGAGGGATAAGCCAAATGGCCAATGATTTAGGTAAACTAGAAAAATGGTCAGAATTGTGGCAACTGACATTTAATGTGGATAAGTGCAAGATAATGCATCTTGGACGTAAAAACCCAAGGGCAGAGTACAGAATATTTGATAGAGTCCTAACCTCAACATATGAGGAAAGGATTTAGGGGTGATTATTTCTGATGACTTAAAGGTAGGCAGACAATGTAATAGAGCAGCAGGAAATGCTAGCAGAATGCTTGGTTGTATAGGGGGAGGTATTAGCAGTAGAAAGAGGGAAGTGCTCATGCCATTGTACAGAACACTGGTGAGACCTCACTTGGAGTATTGTACACAGTACTGGAGACCGTATCTTCAGAAGGATATTGATACCTTAGAGAGGGTTCAGAGAAGGGCTACTAAACTGGTTCATGGATTGCGGGATAAAACTTACCAGGAAAGGTTAAAAGGATCTTAACATGTATAGCTTGGAGGAAAGACGAGACAGGGGGGATATGATAGAAACATTTAAATATATAAAGGGAATCAACACAGTAAAGGAGGAGACTATATTTAAAAGAAGAAAAACTACCATAACAAGAGGACATAGTCTTAAATTAGAGGGGCAAAGGTTTAAAAATGATATCAGGATGTATTACTTTACTGAGAGGGTAGTGGATGCATGGAATAGCCTTCCAGCTGAAGTGGTAGAGGTTAACACAGTAAAGGAGTTTAAGCATGCATGGGATAGGCATAAGGCTATCCTAACTATAAGATAAGGCCAGGGACTAATGAAAGTATTTAGAAAATTGGGCAGACTAGATGGGCCGAATGGTTCTTATCTGCTGTCACATTCTATGTTTCTATGTTAAGGTAAGACAGGTAAGACTTAATCGAAATTGGAATGCCCTTTTAATCCTGGTGCCCGTGTGTTGCCGGTAGCCTTGTTGCTCTGGGTACATCTGTGATGATTGAGTTCACTTTACGCAAGATTCCGCTGTGTTACCAAGTCTATATTGTGTACATTCTGTGCTACTTTGTATCATTTTTTAAGGGCGTTGCACCTTGCAGAGCAGAGATGGATATGTTACACATTATATTTTAGTGTTAGAGATATTGTTTGGTGCAGTCACACGTACGGTTTGTTAATGTAAGATCGTTGTTTATTAGACTTGCATTTTGCTTTTAAAGTGATATGTAAATGGACGAGATAATGAATAGTTATTATGTTAATGAGGGCAAGGCATGCCATCACGTTGACAGTTAACGAGTGTGGGTTATTGCTGAACACGATCCTTGGTGTAAATGCAGATTATGGACCAGGTTCTTTGCATAGTAACTCTGGAAATTGAGAGAACACATTATTCAGACGGTTTCTTCATTATGCAGTTTCCTTACATGTGATAAACTCTCAGGAGCTCGTTTGTCCCAGCTAGGAGCTTTGATAAGGAACTATTCGAGTATAACAGACGTGAGACTTCTGGACTTGAGAAGGTGTTACCGATGAGCAGAAAACCTACACGGAAACCCTTTGATTTGTTTTCTCTTGGAAAGCGCTCGGTGCCTGAAGGGCAGTGTTGGATTGAAGACTATTTCCCCCTGACGCGGAGACACAGACAACTGCCATTAATATTTTAGGAACTATGCGCCAGAGCTGAATGAATTCTTGGAAAGCAAAGGAATCATTATTTTGATAAAATAAATTCACTCTGCGTGTTTTGTGACTTGAACCACAGGAAGTCGTGATGCTTTGGAAAGGGGAGAGGCGTATGATGACTTTATCGATGAACACATCCTAAATCTGTATAATTCATGCAGGGCCGCCATCATAAATTTTGGGGCCCATAACACAGCTCAAGGTCTGGGCCCCCCTTCAAGCCCGCCTCCAAATCCCGCCCACAGGAATACACACACACTAACAGATACAAATACTGAAACAGACATACACACATGCATAGGGAGATACTGACATACACATATACATGCAGACATACATACTGACAAACATACAAATACATACACATACTGCATACTGATATATACATACATACAGACACACACTGGCATACACGCACCGGCATACATACAGACACACACTGGCATACACGCACCGGCATACATACATACACACACTGGCATACACACATACACCTCATCCCCAGCCACCCTCCTCTCTTCCTTACCATTTTGTCGCAGGAGGGTGGCTGGGGATGATGGGCATCGGTTGCCTCTCCTCAGGCTACGTCCTCCTTCCCGCGCGGAGTAAAGTGGGAGGAAGTGACCGGATGTCACTTCCTCCCAGCAGCACTTGCTTCCGGCTGCATTTTTTTTAAAGGGACTCAGTCGCGCTATTACAGCGCTGATCGGGCCCCTGAATATAATAGGGCCCATTGGGTGGCCCTAAATGCTGCTGATCCACGTGGGGCCCAGGCGGCCTGAATTCATGCCTCATGGATACACAGAGACTCATGGGCTTTCTCGCCTCACAAATCTCCTCCCAGTCTCTCAGTCTCCCCCATGCTCCATCTTACTAGACGATCATCTGCTAGGTCCATGTATCCAACTTCTACAAACTCTCACCCTGTTTGGTCCCTATGTCCATTATCTTAGATTATCTTCCAGTTTGATTCTTACCGCCACTTACTTTAAATATAAGCCTGTCCAATGCTCACCTCTATTTTCCTAACCTCCCAGCTTGCTTCAGCCTTACTCCAAATTCTTGGATTCTCAGCCTGTCCGGCCATCTCTAGCATCACTCCTATGCTGTCCTGTCCTTGCATCCAGCTTTTTAAATCTTCATCCTTTCCAGCAATCACATGCAACAGCATACAGTCTCTGTATTGGTAGATATTTGGGATTTACAGCTTCACACGACCCATATAAACAGACTGCAGCAAATCAGAACACACAGATTGCTGGAATTCCCTTACATCCCCTGCTAATTTAATGCCTACCAGCTTGTTTGTATTGTTACTGCCATAAATATACATCAAATACAGTACGGTTCTCTCTAGTGTTCCTTCAAAAAGTCTTCTGGTTTTTCCTTGTGAGTGAGTGGAGATCTGTGATTGAACTAAGAAGGAGTTCGCCCACACACATTTAATGGTGAGTAAATTAACAAAACAATTATTTCTCAGTGCACTCTATTTATAGAGCAGGACTGATTGGCACCGGAGCAAGAATAGACTGTTACGGACATTCTGTTTACAGGCAACTCTAGGGTTTGTCATTATTTCCTATTTTGGTGTTTCTTTCTGTTCTTATCCTATCATGGCTTGTGTTCACTAATAGCTTGCACCACATATAACATGGTGTCAGAAGTATCTGAACCTGATCTAATTCTATACATTTGATCCTAAGAGCTTGCAATTCTTTCAGTGAGAGACATTAGACCTGCTTGTGTCCTCCTGTAGCAAAGACCGTCCTGTCCCGGAGGTTGGGCATTGGAAGGGAGAAAACCAATATTGTGGCACCTGCTAATAGCATTCCACTACCCGAGGCAATGACAGGGACATAACGTGGACGATGCCATATGTGAGTGTGAGGATCACCCCTTAGCCACAGGGTTAAATGAGAAATCTGCAGCAGTGCAAGCGGCCACGCCGAGGAGGGTGATGGCCAGTGAAAGCCTCCATGTTTACAATGAAACTCAAAAAGGAATAACATATTGACAATAAGCCATCCTGGACACGTTAGAAGCATGTAACGGACCGTTTTGCACACAAGGGGTAAAAACCGTTTAGGCGATCGGCCCCCTTTCCAGAGATCCAGGCACAGCTACTGCAGAACACCAAAACTCACGAATTGGATACAAAATAGCACTCCAACTCCCGAACGGGAACCTCCCAAATAGCTGCTAGCAGACGAACAGAGGGAAAAGCAGGCAGACAGCTTACACTCCCTGGCAGTAGTCTCTAACAGCGCCACAGTGAATCCCCAAGAACGAGACAAGGCTCCGTGTTGAGGGTCAAGCAGTGGTCTGAGGTGCTGGCACACCCAGCCTGGTTTTTATTACAGTGTTTCAAATACAGGACCACCCACAGGGAGGGATAAAACAACCAATCATATCACAGTTACATCACACATATTCCCTCCCCTTATCCTGAGAGGAAACTCAATTATACATACAGTTAAAACATACTTTCTACCCAACTTTCATAACTCCAAAACCATGCATCACATTCACATAAAATTACATATTCACAATCAATCCATTCAGGGGAACAACATATTCAAAAATGGCACAAATCAGACAAGGGGTTCAAAAGTTAGTAAAAAAGTCCTTTGTGACTAAATGAAGCATGGCTTTCTGGCCCAAACCAGTTTCAGAGTCTTCTATCCTGGAGAGTAATTCAATTATCTCCCAGGACAGACACAAGACTCCATTAAGCACATGGTTGCAAAAAGACACAAAACACTTTAAAATACATAAAGTCACATTTACACATAACACGCAGACATTTCACATATCCCCAGATAGCTGGGATCTGAGTGCACATTATTAGATGAATGGCACTCAGATCACACAAATAAGCCTTTCTGCAGGGGAAATAAACAGTTTAACCTGCAGGGCCATAGTCCAAAGGGAGCAGGCGAGCAACCAGGCTTCTCCAGTTCACGGTGGCGAGGTTGGTTTCGCCACACTTCTCCCCTTTACCAACTAGACTAACAGGGTATCTGACCTCCTGCCGGTCAGTGCCCTGGTTAGTCCAGCAACCCACCCACAAAACAGAAACAGCGGTACAGCCCACCCACAATAACTGGTTACTACACCTGGGTAGAGGAGAACTTTGTCCATGTCCAGGTGCCTCACCACGACTGTGTGGGCAACTGTTAGGCTGCCTTGGTGGGTTGCTGCGTGGGCAGAGACCAGCGGTACTCTGCCCTGATGCCAGTGCTACCACGGAAGTAGCCTGGTGGGAGCCTGGTTGTGGGAGGGAGAGATCGACTGTCTCCCCTCTGGATACACCGCTCTGTGGCTGGGGAACAGGACCGACTGTCCCTACCCCTTGTGCTGTAAGTGCAGAGACTACAGTTCCATCTGCACTGTTGGGGGGTGTAACATCTCCCCTTGCTGGGTTAAGCTGCTGCTGGAGAGAGGGTGTAACAAGCTCCTCTCTCTGAACTGTAAACTGCCGCTGGGGAGAGGGGGTATCAGGCTCCTCTCCCTGACACTCTCTCTGCTGGCGGAGAGGGGGACCAGCTGTCTCCCCTTTCATTATTTTGTCCTGTGGTTGGGGTGCGAGACTGACGGTCTCTGCTCCCTGCAGGACACTCTGCCGCTGGGGAGGAAGGACGGCACCTTCAGCTCCCTGGGGTACACACTGCAGCTGGGGAGGAAGGACTGCACCTTCAGCTCCCTGGGGTACACACTGCCGCTGGGGAGGAAGGACTGCACCTTCAGCTCCCTGGGGTGCACACTGCCGCTGGGGAGGAAGGACTGCAACTTCAGCTCCCTGGGGTACATACTGCGGCTGGAGATCTGGGCCGACCGCCCAGCATCCCTGTAGGGCCGGTTGAGAGACCGCCGTCCCATCTCCACCTGCCATCTGTGGGTCTTCCCAGGACCAGTCTGTGAGGTCCCTCAACATTTGCGAGTAAGGACCACCTGCTTCCGCACCTGGCAACTCCGGCTGCTGCTGGGGATCTGGGCCGGACCCATCTCCACCTGCCTGTTGTGGTTCCTCACAGGACCAGTCTATGAGGACCCCTACTTCGGGTTCCTGCGGCCGCCTCAGGGGGAGACGGCTAGCCTCCTCGGATGCAGCCTCTACTCGGCTGCTGTAACACTCCTTCCGCTGAGCATACTTTCTCTCTTTCGCCAGCCGGAATTCTCGGGCCAGCCTTGTGTTTCGCTCGGCCGTGACCTGGTTCCAGATCACCCGGCGTACCTCCATGGGTAAATCATCCCCATACTGGGCCGCTCGCTGCCTCACCTCGGCCATCCAATCATCGCCAGAGCCTTCCATACTTGTCTGCTCCAAGTCGCTGGATACCTCTGCTCCCAGGGGCGCTGCACGTGTGCTAGCGTTGCCCTCAATTTGTAACTCCACGAACTGTGTCTCTGAGCTACTTTACCTCGCACTAGGACGCCATCCCACCGCTTGCCACCAATGTAACGGATCACCTGGCACCCCGACTGGGTACCTCCGTTGAAGGATGCTCCTAGCGCTTCCTGAGGACTCCAAGCACTCTGGCAGACACCACAATCACCGAACCGGAGAAACATATGAATCCTCTCAAGCATATGAATGCTGTAGACAGTTGAATAGGAACCATACGAATAGGTTTACTCTCCTAGCAGTCAAACTGGAACAGCATACAATAAATCCTTCCCCCAATAATGAGACGACACTTCACTTTGAGGGTTAAACAGGAACTCCCTGTACTGTCACATACAGTCTCTTTTATTCCCAATCCACAAACATAGTACAGCCCACAGGGCGTTACAAAACAACCAATCACATCACAGTTACATCCCACCGCTGCCACCAATGTAACGGATCACCTGGCACCCCGACTGGGTACCTCCGTTGAAGGATGCTCCTAGCACTTCCTGAGGACTCCAAGCACTGCAGCAGACACCAAAACCACCGAACTGTAGGAGCATATGAATCCTCTCAAGCATATGAATGCTGTAGACAGTTGAATAGGAAACCATACGAATAGGTTTACACTCCTAGCAGTCAAACTGGAACAGCATACAATAAATCCTCCCCCAAGAATGAGACGACACTTCACTTTGAGGGTTAAGCAGGAACTCCCTGTACTGTCACATACAGTCTCTTTTATTCCCAATCCACAAACATAGTACAGCCCACAGGGCGTTACAAAACAACCAATCACATCACAGTTACATCCCACATATTCCCTCCCCTTATCCTGAGAGGAAACTCAATTATACATACAGTTAAAACATACTTTCTACCCAACTTTCATAACTCCAAAACCATGCATCACATTCACATAAAATTACATATTCACAATCAATCCATTCAGGGGAACAACATATTCAAAAATGGCACAAATCAGACAAGGGGTTCAAAAGTTAGTAAAAAGTCCTTTGTGACTAAATGAAGCATGGCTTTCTGGCCCAAACTAGTTTCAGAGTCTTCTATCCTGGAGATAAGTAATTCAATTCTCTCCCAGGACAGACACAAGACTCCATTAAGCACATGGTTGCAAAAAGACACAAAACACTTTAAAATACATAAAGTCACATTTACACATAACACACAGACATTTCACATATCCTCAGATAGCTGGGATCTGAGTGCACATTATTAGATGAATGGCACTCAGATCACACAAATAAGCCTTTCTGCAGGGGAAATAAACGGTTTAACCTGCAGGGCCATAGTCCAAAGGGAGCAGGCGAGCAACCAGGCTTCTCCAGTTCACAGTGGCGAGGTTGGTTTCGCCACATCTGATATTAGAGAGATCACCCGACAAGGACATCAGGTGTGGAGTGCAGGGTCATATCAGATTTAGAAGAAAGAAAAGCTTTAAATATTTGAACAGGAAGGTAATAAATAATATTTTCTAAGCTCCTTTGATACCAAAATATCAAATAACAAAAAAAAAAATATAAAAATAAATATCGTTACATATTTTGACAGCCAGTTTTTTTTTTAAAGATATTGGAAACAGCCATAAAAAAAAAAAATCTGTTTACATGTCCCATGTGTAGAACATTTAAAATTGGCTCACAAGATTTTGTATTGAATTCATTTATTTGCATTTCTTATGTAACGACTCCAATGAAAGTAGACTAAAAAGCAATAAGGTATTTTTAAGCAGTATGTTTAAAATTCATATTTTGGAAATAGAAAAATTAAAAACATTTCCAGCGTGTGTTTATAATATATGCAATATATATTTAGCTATATTTATATATAAATAGTGGAGATGATAAAGTTCCAAGATGGTGAGACCTTAGACCCTAACTATTGAATTTGACAATCTCCACTTGACCCTATGGTCTTAACCATTGATCCACTGACATGTTGTTCCCTTTCAACACCATAATGTATTTGAGAAGCATTAACCACTTTAAAAAGATTAGATTGGGTTACAGCAAGAGCAGGTACAATGACAGTCCTAAAAGACTGGACAATATGCAGACCAGTTTATTAGAGTGCACAGTACATGACAGCCCAATACAAAACCAGTGGGTGTCATCACAAATCCTGTCTAGCACACAAACTGTCTGAGGGGTCTACCCAAATATCTTGTTATCCTGCCCGTTGGAAAATCTCTAGTCATCAATACATGAAAGTGTTTGTTTGGTTGTAAAAATATATATATATATATATATATATATATAAACTATCAAGTGATGCATGTCCTGTTAAACAGGGCCATGGAATGGTGCACCTGTGACACAGAGGAGTGCAAAAAAACAGTGATTTGTGGGAGGGTTATGCAATGTATGATTATATA